AAGGAAACATTCGGATTCAAACTGACGTCCGCGGTCTGTAGTGATGGTTGAAGGGCAACCGAAGTTTGCTACCCATCGTTCGACGAAGGTGCGGGCCACTGTTTCATCAGTGATGTCCTTGATAGGTACTGCTTCTGGCCATCGAGTGAAACGGTTTACGCAGGTTAAGAGATAAGAGTATCCATTTGAATCTGGTAAAAGTCCTACCAAATCCAGATGAACATGGTCGAAACGAGCATCGGGAGTTTTAAATGAACCTAAAGGACATTTATGGTATCTGTTAACCTTAGATTCCTGGCAGCTTACACAGGAGCGTGCCCACTCTCTCACGTCTATTCATACCAGGCCAGCAAAACCGTTCTGCTATAAGCTTGATGGTTGCACGAATGCCTGGATGAGAAAGTTTGTGCAATGTATTGAGGACATTGCGTCGACAATGTTTCGGCACGATTGGGCGATCCCTACCTGTAGATGTGTCACACAGTAAGGTTTCCTTACCTGTTCCCATCTGTTTGATGCGTAGTTTAAGTGTTGTGGACGATAATTCGTGCTGAAGATCACTGTCTTCTTTTTGAAGGTCGGCGAGTTTAAGAAGGTCGATTCCTTGGAAACTGTTCAAGGAAGTTATGCGAGATAAAGCGTCTGCGACTACATTGTTTGCTCCAGAGATGTGTTGAATGTCTGAAGTAAACTGCGAAATGTAGTCCAGTTGTCGAGACTCACGGGGAGAGTACTTGTCTGAAGGAGAGCTTAACGAGAAAGTGAGCGGTTTGTGGTCCGTGAAAAGAGTGAATTCACGGCCTTCGATGTAGTGTAGGAAATGCCGTACAGCACGATACATAGCTAGGAGTTCCCTACCGAATATGCTGTACCTCGATTCGCTGTCTAGCAACCGTCTAGAGAAAAATGCCAAAAGTTGCCATGAGTTGTTAACCCATTGTTGTAAGACGCCACCGATTGCCGAGTCCGATGCGTCTACTGCGATACTAATGGGTGCTTCAGTGTCCTGATGTGCGAGCATCGTTGCTTAAGCAATAAGTTTCTTAACTGTGGAGTATGTTTTACCTGCGGTGTCGTCAAAATTAATGGATTTCGCATTTCCATGAAGTTGGTCGGTAAGAGGTTTCATGAGTAACGCGCATTTCGGTATGAATCGTCAATAGAAACTTACAAGGCCGTAAAACGTTCGTAGTTGCTTGATCGTGGTCGGTTCTGGGTGATCCAGAATGGCCGCCACTTTGGTCCTAAGGGGTTGGATGCCTTGAGCATCTATAGTGTGTCCTAGGAAGTCTTATGAGTTAGTTCCGATTTGGCATTTCTGAACGTTTACAGTAATGCCGTGGTTTTGTAGTCGTTCTAAAACAAGATCCAGATGCTTGAGATGTGATTCTTTGTCCGGACTTGCGATTGGGCAGTCGTCAACATACGCATGTACGAAGTTGAGACCTCGAAAAACGTCGTCGAATCTTTGGAATGTTTGGGCAGCGTTTCTTAGACCGAAGGGCATTCGCAAAAATTCATAAAGTCCAAAGGGAGTAATGATAGCTGTTTTTGGTATATCGTCTGTAGCCATAGGGATTTGGTTATGCGCTTTAACCAGGTCGATTTTCGAAAAGACAGTTGTACCTTTCAAGGTAGCTGTCAAATCGTGAATGTGAGGCAACGGGTAACGATCGGGAATGCTTTTTGCATTCAGTCGCCGATAGTCACCAGTTGTACGCCAATCTTTGCTGTCCTTTTTAGGGACCATGTGTAACGGAGATGCATATGGGCTATTTAACGGTCGTATGATTCCTAAGTCCATCGTGTGGTTGAACCCGTTTTTCGCCAACCCCACCTTTTCGGAGGCTAGTCGTTGTGCTTTAGAGAATACAGGTGGTCCTGTAGTCGTGATGTGATGTGTAACGTTGCTGGTTATACACGGTAATCTCGGTTGCGTTTGTTGTATCCCAGGATACTTATCGAGTAGTGGTTGATAAAGTGGGTCTATCATATGCTTAATTGTAACTGGGGATAATTTGCAACTAGAAAAAGAAGTTATCCAAACGGATAAATTAGTGTTTCTGTCTACTTGCCACTGTTTGCGCGTATCGATGATTAGATTATGGTGTTGTAGAAGATCCATACCAATGATTGGCATAGAAACATCTGCAATAACGAAGATCCAGTGAATGGGTTTGCGTGAACCCACGTTAAGGTAAACGTACCTTTTGCCATACGTAGCGATCGGTTTTCCGTTTGCCGCCTGTAAGTTTAGAGCCGATTCGTGAAGCCGGTCGTTGGAAGTTGCTAACTTCTCCGCCAGTGTCGACGAGGTAGTGAACTCTCGTTGTCACATCTGTGACGTATAACAGACGGCTATGTTCGCCGTCTACGGTTGCCCTGTAACGCGTGCCAGCTTGGAAATTTCCCGAGTTGTTTTTCGAGTCAGTAGGTTTTGAGTTGGGAAAATTGCAGGGTTTTCTGCAATTTCTGGAAAACTTTCCATACTGGTTATGATACCAGCACCAGTCGTGGTTATCCGTCTCTCGTGGTCTAGAGACAGATCGCTTACGTGAAATGCTTCTACGTGGGGTGCGCGATCTCTTACGGTCGGTACGAAGACTAAGATAACGCGTAAGTGTATGACATAGCTCTGTTATGTCATTCTGAGTCGTTTGGATCTTTTCTTTGACTGAAAAAACCTCGGTAGTAGAAGATTTCGTAATCTCTAAGATACGATAGGCTGATGCAGCCAGCTCGTCTAAGGCGTTGTTCTGAAACGAGACCAGAACCGCCTGCACCTGTCGGGGAAGTTTGGACAAGAAAACTTGTTTGATCAGACCTTCGTCGAAAGTTCTTGAGCCTATAAACTCTCTCACGTTTTGCAACATGTCCGTCGCAGAACCTTGTTGCAGGTCCATGTTATTAAAGAGTTGGTCTAACCTTCGTCGATTTGTTAGGTCTCCTTGTTTAAGAATCGAACGCTTTAAGGTTTCGTACGGGTCAGAAACATCACTAGTAAACATACTAGGTGTTACGTACCTGTTGAACTTCCGCGGTAGTGCCTTGACTACTGCGAGGAATTGTGCACGTGTGTCGTTCACGCCGTGATCGTGAAAGTCGGCTTCTGCGTAGCTGAACCAGGCTTCGATATTGTTGGGCCAGAAGGGCGTGAGTTGGAACGAGGGTGGGGACATGGTCTTAATCTTGAATACCTTAAGAGTCTGTTCGGTCATAGGGGAATATTAAGTACGAGAATACGAGGAAAAAATATATAGATATCCTGAGACACGGGGAAAAATTATCGCAATGTATAAAAATTAAAAAATAAGGCAATAATATATAAAAATCACAAAAAGGAACAGACTCACAGTTGCAATTAGGTGTACCATATCACGTCGGTCTCACCAATGAAGATGGCACAGGTATTCAGTATTTGACAACGCTTTTACCAGTAACACCTTCTAATATAATTTGTACCCACCAAGAGATATCAAAAGACAGAGTCGAGGAGATCGGAAGAATGTATTGGGCGATAACCAATATATTGGAATTCTCTGATCTAATCTGGCTAGCGATTGCGGTAGATGTTGAGCACAGCGTTACCACACGTGATCTGGTGCGGATGCATGACCGAGCGCCTTCAGCTAGATGAGTTCACTAAAACATATGGTCAGCATCCAATGTTGAAAACCTACAGAGCTATTTATTTTGGGGATTTATTTACCGCTACAACTTCACATAAGAAGATGCTTTGAGTCCCAAATGCAGTAAAGTGATCCCAGTTTGGCTCAAATGTGCTCTCACAGTAACCCCGTTTTCACAGTACTTCACTTGCTAAGTCCATATGTTGAAAATGTGTCTCATCCTCAAGAACTACAATCACACGTCTCTCAACTTATTATTGGAAAGCTCAGGATTTTGAGATCTGCCTTCCGTAAAACGTTGAAGATGGGCTGTGTTTTTAGCCCCAGACGTTAAACGTAAAAATTCAAAGCGAACAGATGGAGTGGCTGTTCAAAGAATGGTCTCATCGAATATCAAACTCCACCTTCGGGAGATTAACAACTTTACCTTGAGAAACACGTTCACATATTCTAATGTAGTCAAATGGTTGAGTACATAGAGATACAGTTATAGGTCAGCAATCTTCGTTTAAATTCACTGTTTAAATGCCGAATCACTGTTTTATTTTACTCGCATTGAATGAAAAGGGTGTAAAGCCAAATAACCACTCAAAGTATGAGCTGTTAAAAATCTCAGAAGGTGGAGGAGAGTGTTTTCAGTTCACGGATTTTTAAAAGTTAATTTGCATTCATTTGGGAACATAGGTTAATCAGCTACGGTGAACAGCTGGATAACATTGTCGGTCGCATATAGTAATTGTACTGAGCTAAGTTTGGAGTACTTTTTGAGTGACAGTTGAAATTGTTGGTCAACATCATAAGTATATGAGGCTGAATATAGATCATAAAATCTCATACTGGGTTTGTGCAGCTTTTCGTCTCTACACATCGACGATCATTCCTCGGGGTAGTGGGCAAGTCCTACTGATCGAATTAATCAGCACAAGCTAATAAATAGGATCTGAGTAGTTGACTAGAATTTCATATGCCTTGTATGATCCCTTCTCCTAAAATGCGTATGCAGTTATGAGAATCTAAAATATTCTTACTAAACACCACAGAATAACCGCACCCATCTTTCAAGAACAAAAGACTATTTATAAAGAGTAGATGGGGAAGCATTTATAATAAGATTCACTGACAAAAGAGTAATAAAGACATTAGGCTCAAACTTCATAGTGTTTAAAATACGTGTGGATGTAAGAGAAATTTCATCTACCTATCTTCCGTGCCTACTTTCAATGAGTCGTTGCTAGCCTGAAGTAGAAACATAAAGAATATAAAAGACGGATAAATGTCCTAGATTAAGGACACAAGGCTATTCACAAATAAAATGGATGTAGAGAAAAGAAGTTAGACTTGATATTGCGATTTTGTTAAAGTGATCAGCCGGGGAGTTTGAAACCCTCCGTAATCAGCTGACTATGTCCGGCGACAATAAGAACCAAAATGAGGTGGAGGTTATGGAGTACACAACTGTTAAGGTATGATGACTCAAAAACGTAAACTCCCTTTCAAAGGCTAGCTATGAGTCACTAAACAAGCGGTACAGACGCAATCACCGAGACATGGAGAAAGGTATAGCTGCTTTAAATAAGTCACTTGACGAGTTGGAAAATGCAACAGATATCACAAAAGCTACAGCAGCACTTAGCAGAGTTCTAGAAACCGTTTGTGGCGTGAAACGCAAAGTAGGGAAATACAAACCCACTAACTTTCCTCTAGGCTGAATTTGTATGTATTGAAGAAAGGAAGCTGTTGAAATCATGTAAACGCAGAATAGGACACCTTAGTCAACTGTGTTTGCTTGATAGTGGGATGTTTACCCGGGCCTCAGGTCAGTATTTTTTAAAGGACAAACCCGTCGCTTTTCAAATTGCATGCAATATATTGGGTTGGATAGGTTGTCGCAGTCGAACTTCTCAATAAGTTCTCTTAGTAATTATCATCCCTTTAAATGACATGACTGTGGTTAATTCTGACTAAAGTTTAGGTCGTTGGCATGAAGTAGCATTGAGGATCAAACGGTACTTTTGAGTTCAATCACTATTAAATGTAACGAGTCCTGAACGGAGCCTTACGGTACTCCGTCGAGCACTGGTTTTCTGAAAGTAGATTATGGAATTTATTCCTGTTCTTCTGTTGCTGCCTACCAAAAATTGTTTGACTTCTTGTAGTAAAGGCCCAGAAATCTATACGTTTACAAGCTTAAATAAGAGTCTATTATGTGGCACCTTATCAAACGCTCCACTGAAGTCATCGTAGACAACACCCATTGCATTTCTGCTACAAGATGACTCCGCCCGTCTTTCTTTCTATAGGATTGCTTCAGCATGATGATGCTTTTCTGAACCTACCTCCACTGTTTGAAAAGTTTTTGGTTTCCGCAATGGTCAGAATGATCGGCCTGATGATTCTTTCCAATATTTTAACTAAAACACTAGTGAAGTTGACGGGTTTGAAGTCTGACGAAAATAGTCTTAATCTTATCTTGTTAACTGGAGTGATAGTTGCGTCCTTTCATTCCACATGTAACTTGCTGAGTGATATGAATATTGTAGCGAACGGAGTAGTCATGTTTACCGCAATTTCTCTCGAAATTCTTAGATCTAGCTCGTTTGACCCTTCTGACTTTTTTGTGCCTAAGGACTTCAGTCCATTTAGTGCATCATCCTGGTTATTCGGTTCGGCTACATGACTTCTCGACCCAGTCCTTTGTCGGGAGAAGGCTCGTGAATGAAGACCATCTCTAAGTAATCAACCATAGTCTCTGCTTCGTCTTAATCTTCTGATATTATAAATGCGCTCCATTCCGTGCATAAACTGAAAATTTTTGGGTGCGTTCTTATTCTGTAATTTATGTGTAGGAACAGTCAATCAGTCAGTAACAACGTAGGAACAACCGATTAGGGTGCTTGATCACAGTTTGTACTAATTAATTTTCATATTTGTGCTGAGCCAAACAGATTGTGTTTATATGCTTATTCCAAATCAATTTGTACCGTTTCATTGCATTTGCTGCACCAGTGCTGATGACGATGTTCAAGCATTTCTTATTTGATCTTAGTAAACCTCGGATCTGTGCGTGTTTTTTCTTCGGGACGACAGTTTATTTATTTAAACATGAACATGGGTACAATGAGGTACCAAATAAATATACGCCGCATAAATCGTTCGATTTATATAAGGGCTGGGATACTGCCCGGGTGCCCAAACCAAAGCAAGCTGTTTTCTTAGGGGGCCACACCCTGGGCCTTTGACCTGGAGGTCCAGTCCAGTGGATCAACGTAAGGAGATGCAGTCCCTTGGTAGCCGGTGACCAATAATAGGTTCATACGCCGTTTGTTCGCTCAGGATCCTGGAGCCCATGTGCACCATTAGTTTGGAATGAGGGTTTTCCAACTCCCCTAGGTGGGTCTGTATCAATCGACCCAGTTAAGAGGATGGGCATTCGCTTTTCGTCCTCTCAATTCCGAAAACAACACCCTGGTGAGAGAAGGCAGTGAGTAGAACATTATTATTATTTATTTATTTGAACACATGAATATTGGTACAAGAGAGCGCCAATATATATGCGTCACACAAAACAATGAAAATTCGAAGAGAAGTACAAAAAAAACTAAGGAGCGCAAAAGAAAAAGAGAACAATAACGAAGAGATTGGTGTAAGGTAGTGTGGTAGTAACGACGGAACGAAAAGATACAATCAGAAGAAATCTTTCAGGTAAGGGAGATACAACCACTTTTTATGAAGAAAGTAAAAGAAGGTTACAGCAGGATCGCCACTGGCTTCTATTCTGAGCCATATCTGATAACGTCTCTAGCCACTGTGTAGCACCATCTCTCGGACCCCAACCAGGGAGCCGTGAAGGACCAACACAAGCCAACCCTTTGCAGCTTTCTTTCATGCCACGACACCATGTCATGCACTGACCACCTCTCCGCTTCTTCCAACCAGTCCCAGAGTCGGCAAATAATGCACGACGTGGAATTCTCTGGGAAGACATTCGTAGAACATGTCCAAGCCACCGAAGTCGATGTTTCAAGATGGTGACACCAATTGGATTATTGTCTCTGTGCCCGAACACACGATGCCGAACCTCTGCATTACTGACATGGTGTTGCCACTGAATGTCAGCAATCCTTCGGAGACAACGATGATCAAACACGGAAAGTCGTCTAACATCCTCAACTCGGAGAGGCCAGGTTTCACAAGCATAGAGCAAAACTGCTTTCACTGACGCGTTGTAGATCCGGCCTTTTACAGCCAGACTAACATCACGAAGGCGCCAAAGGTGGCCCAGATTGGCATAAGCCGCTCTGGCTTTCACTATTCGTGCATTGATCTCATCACTCACACCCCCACCAGCACTTATGCAGCTACCTAGATACACGAACTTCTCGACTACTTCTATCTGCTCACCATCCAGGGTGAGTACAGGATTAGAATCCTGCCAGTCTTGTAGAAGTACTTTGCACTTCGAAGGTGCAAAGCACATACCATACCTACGGACACTGATTGCCAACTGATTAAGTGCGGATCGCGTGGGTTGGGCATTATCGCACAGTAAGACAATATCATCTGCATACTCAAGGTGGAGAAGTCTTTCTCCAGGCAACAGATCCACACCACCATTACTTACATTCATCAGAGCTGTTTCCAGAATGTCATCGATGGCAAAGTTGAAGAGGAATGGTGAGATTGGGCAACCCTGCCTAACCCCACTGCTCGAATGGAACAATGGAGAGAGGTGGTTGTATGCCCTCACTCTGCCTGAGGTGTTTTTATACAGGGCTTTTAGGATGTTAATAAACTTCTCAGGCACACCCTTTTTCAATAGACAATCCCAGAGAACAGTCCTGTCCAACGAATCGAAGGCAGCCCTGATGTCAAGAAACACTACGATTGTTGGCCTTTGATAAGTGTGGCGGTGTTCTAACATTTGGCGGAGGGTGAAGATATGATCAATACATCCTCGACCAGAACGAAACCCAGCCTGCTCCTCGCGAGTCAATCTTTCTCGAGTTTTGAACAACCTACGAAGTATGACGGAAGCCAATAGGTTGGACGCAATCGGAAGTAGACTTATCCCCCGATAGTTGTTACAGGAACGACGTGAACCCTTTTTAAAGATAGGGACAACTATCGACTCATTCCATGACGTTGGTTCCCAAACCTTTGTAAACAACGTCGTCAGTTCCTTGGTCAGAAAGTCACCACCACCTTTAAAAAGAGCCGGAGGTAAGTCATCTGGGCCAGGTGATTTGTAACGCTTCAAGAGTTGGAGTTCCTTGCGGACTTCCTCCTCATTTGGTGGACCAGTCTTCACCGGCCATGGAGGGCAGGACAGTCTGACCGATAGTGAGTAGAACAAATGTATAAAGGTTCTAACTACTTAAGTTTTTTGATGGACAAACTATTAATTACATTATCATAAGATCAGAATCACTTATTGTTTTGTTGTATGACAGTTAGTAACCAAAAGTTTTCAGTGTTACGGCTTCAGGATCATTTGGATTCTATACATTCTAGTATTACTAATTTGTACTTATTTATTTCAACTTTTTACGTGACTGTTTTATAGTGTGACAAACTTGACTAAGGTACCGTCATAGTCAGCTTTACTACAGTTGTAATCAAATAACAAGTTACGTTAAAAGTAGTAAAAAATCCTGAATTTTGACATTAAGTTATATAACCACATTCCGCTCATTTGTATCATTTGACACTAGTAATCGTATTTCGGAGAAAAATGTCTTTTTTCTTTATCTATCTCAATTTTCACTGTTTTTCTAAATGATGCACTATTGCAGATGAGCTACATTTCAACTCTAGTAGTAATCAAAAGTCTGAAGAATCAATTTCTAAAGTTAATAGTAGTGAATCAGACACTACACTTAAACGCCGTTCTACTTATTCTGTTGATGAACGCGCACTTTGTCTAGCAAGATTCCAAAGACACTTGACAGATTATCTTTTTACAAGTGGTCAACCTTTATCGGCTTTGAAATTCGCTCAGGAGAAAGCCGAACTGGGTGATCTATGTATGATGGAAGTTTTTGATGAAGCTGTGTCTATTGAGAAGGCACTTTTAGAAGGAGATACAGGTCCAGCATTCTCTTGGTTGCAAGAAGCTAACTTCAAGTTGAAGAAAAACGATGTAAGCAAACTAGTACTTTTTACTTATCAGTAAAAATGTTTTACCAAATCATTCCTTGTGTGTTTGGTTCTCTTGTGAAGCGGGATTGAGCTGTACTGTTTGGGTTGTCACGTGAAAGTCTGTATGGTGTCTGGTTCTCCTGAAAACCAATGTAAAATTACCCTGGCCCACAAGGTTATATTATATAACTAAACTATGAAATCATCCCTTGTAAGTCAATAGTGTAGGTGCTTGATTAATCACCAGTCACATTTCGGATTTGCGCTGACAGTACCGTATAAGTTGTCAATGAAGCTGGTTCAGAACTGTCTGGAAGGTCATCAGAAATATGTAAAATGAGCAAAGAATAGAAAATTAGTTAAAACTATCCATCTCTTTTAAACCTAGTTTGACTGCTCTCATTCACATAATATTCACTTCGGGAATAGAATCACTAGTATTAAATTTGCCAGAACATCATATTTTCATAAACTGCTTCCACATATTTGATTGATTAAACATCGTTTACATGCAAAAATTTGTAGTGGATTAGCTTCGAGATAACCGTTATTAAATAAATCCCAACAGTCTTTGAATTTAGAAGACAACACGAAGCGCTTACTACAGTTTACTATTTAATATCACAGATCACTAAGCCACAACAATACCAAGCGAATTCGAACAGAAAAGCTAATGTGCGCGAGCGAGCGAATTAAGAGTCGGATAAAAAATTGAATAAATAGTCGAGTCAGTTAATTAGATTCAACCATATATATAGGAAAGCAAACGATTCATCGAGCGACTTAAGCTAGAGAGAGGGATATATGCGTGGACTGTCACATTTGATCAAGCTTACATGTTCTTACAGACACGATAATAATGATAGTACAAAAACATGGACATTGTTACTGTTCAAATATCACTGTCTGTTAAATAAGTTAATTGAAGGGCTTGATAAAATTAACCGTAAGCAAACTTAAGTGTTGGAGAGGTGCTGTAAATTGCCAAAGAACGAATAAATGTTGATGAAAGGATTTCGGCTTTCATATTTTCTGGTCAAAAGTTTTTTTTATCGCTTCCATGAATTTATACTTTACGATGTTTTGTTTCTCAATAACTTTTTATTTAGTCGTATTATGAATTTGATCTTCGTGTATTCGAGTTCTATCTACTTGTCAAGCAAGGGAAACGAATTGAAGCCATCCAGTTAGTTGTTGACTTTAATTGTTATTTCTTGTCGATTTCATGTAAAGCTTATTTACTACCAGTTTTTACCTATTAAATGGTCAAATTGATAGTTCATTTTATGTGAATACTATAGTTGTATTCACAGCTTTTCATGTATATTCTTAAGTGCCTTTCACTTAATAATTATCATTGTCAGATAATTGTAACGTAAATAACCTTTAGCTTTTACCAGTTTAACAGCCTCCAGAAATGAAAAAATAAGTTTTGATTACCTCATAAACTTCAATGAAGAAGCCTCTATCCACTGGCACTGGTTGAACTGAAACTCAATAAGTGCTTGTAGTGATGGTATTGGACAACTGATACCAGTCAATTCATAGCATACTTCGTTTTAGAGGTTACCAATTCAATTGGATATATTATAATCGAGTTAGCAATGGTATAATTTTGGAGAAACAACAAGTTTTCATACCACTCCTGAAACTAAGAACAGATTACGTGCGGACTTTCTATGTGTGAATGAATAGTTTTTGAATACTTATCAGCTGCTTAGACTTTTTGATACCTATGTCTCGATTCCACGAATCTCTCTCTCTCTCTCTCTCTCTCTCTCTCTCTCTCTATATATATATATATATATATATATATATATATATATATATATATAATGGTTTTTACAACCAATTCTATTATTCATTTTCGCTGTATCACAAAACAGTTGTTGATAAAGTAACTTGACAAAATATCTATGTGAAAGCTTGGCAAACCCAATTATAATTGATTTGTTTATTTCTCATGTCAATGAGTTGACCAAATATTTCATAGTGATCTTTTTAATGATATTGATAAGAAAGTGCAGTTATGAAATTCGCTTGTTCTTGATTATTCCAGGTAAACTGGGCAATAAGTGATTTACCATACAGTATTCTCAAGGAATTAGTTTAAAGATATGTCAATTTTAACGACAATCGGAAAGTGCAAACGATATTCATCAAACTTATTTTTAAAGCTAGTATTGCTGTTCTCTGGTATTGTTTGAACAGAACACAAGCAAAATGTAGGGCAATAGCCACTAGTTACAGTTATGAGTTATGCCTAATAACTTGTCTGTATACTCAATGGCATGATTTTTCATACTGCATCACGGCAGCTGAAACGCTTCAACAGATTCAACCACAACCATGGTTCATCTTGTGCACCACTTTATAGACCAACTACGTTGTTTTTTAGACATTTTAATTTAAAACTAACAGAATAATCTATTTGTTAGCCTTTAACACTGTATACACTCAATACGTGTTTCAGAATGAATTCACGATCGGTTTTACTCTACACTTTCATTCGCTCTTCAATTTATTTTCTTTCAAGTACAGCCACTGATTATTTATATATTATTGAGGACAGGCAAAGTCCATTAAATCTAGCTCGGCTTGGTGTTTAGTAACGATACTAAGTACATACACTGGTCGGCAGTTTCGTTAACTACCGAAAATCAGTATAGTTCTATGGCGTACTAGAATATAAACGGAATTTAAGTAGGTGCTTAAAAAAGAGAAGCGTTCCTTTAAACACACCCGTTGATGACTGAATTCAGTACAGTTTGACAAATTCGTCATGGTTTGTAGACGTGTACATAATATTAATCCTTAAGTTGATAACCACGGATGAGAATTTACCCTATATAATTATGCTTGAAAATAAAATTGTCCTAAAGAGAGCAAGAACAAAGATTGGTGCAGAATAATATGAATTCATTTTATTTCGTTAGGTTCTTATCAGTTACTTACAACCTAAAATATTTGAAATTCAAAATTATTACAGATATTGGAATATTTATACATAAGAGAGTGATTAAGGATGAATAAATGTATGATGGTGTAGCGAAGATTCCGATAGGGTTAATGAGGTCATAAAATTTTGTCTTGAATAATGACGCAATAAATAAACAGAAATAAATGAATAAAAAGGGGGTTATTGTTACCAGGGTAAAGAAAGATTTATTACTGTCTCTTTTTGTATACATAGATCTGGTTTTAGACGTTTGATTGCTATTGCTTCGGCAAATTTCAAGAGGGAACTATGTGTATGAAATAAAATTGTCATTCACTTGTACTTCTCTTTGCCACAATCATTACATTCATTTTTATATTGGTTGTTTAGATCTTCCCATTGATGTTTACAACTGCAATTGGTCGGTCTCTTATCGGCACATGTACATCCTGTGCCTATTTCTTTGATATTGCCTTAAATTACAAGCATCATAAGCAGAGATAGATGGTGGCTAGCAATGGGATTCGGGACGCAAGTTGCGCCCTATTTATTCTGGGTGCTGGGTTCAAGTCCCGGAGTGAACATCAATTCTAGTATGCTGGTACATCCAATGGACGAAACGCGCGTCCTAGATCCCACCGCTAGCCACCATCCATCTCTACTCATAATCATTACAGTTCGGAAAGGGTGTTCAACTTAATATCGTTACGATGTCTTGATAATGCCCGTCAACAATGAATAAATTTCTTCCGTATTAGAGTAGCGATAGTAATTATTTCATTGATTAATAAGTGATGTTCACGGTTTTTAGGCATGCCAGAAAATACATGAATTCAGTGAAACAAGCTGATGATTATCGTGCCACAAAACTTGGTCAGGCGATGATTTTATTGGCAATGCGTACACCTGAAGAACTTCAGAATAAGGCAGTATGTTTAATTTTCTTGATTTTACTGAAATCTTATCTTTTGTTCATGGTAAACTAAATAGAACTTTCTACAGTAAACCATCATATTGTGGTTTTGTGTAACATTTAAATATTAATTATATTCTCTGTTCACGTAAAATTAACCATAAAACAATTATCATAGATCTTAACAATTAGTATGTGGTAAAAACTAAAAAGAACTCTGTTATTTAAAGCTTTCTAATTTTAGTTGCATTACCATTCACAGGTAAAAGCGTCTTTACAATATTCAGATAGTAGAAATTGAAAATAAACCTTTATAGCTAATAACTTTGACAGCGCACATCCTCATTGAAGTTAATAGAATATTCCTAAATTAGTTATCAGTAGATAAATTGATCTTTTAAATTTTATGTATATATGAGAACATATATCTCTTGAATGGAGAATTTCCCCTGGTCAGTAGTTTGTTTCGTTGTACATGACCCATATATAGTACCAGTTGAACACAAAAACGAGTCCCATAATCTGAATCTTAGTCTTGCCTAACCCCTAACATCTTTTACAATAACTGTATACTATGATGTAGATTTTAGGCTATATATGTAGTAGTTTGCAGTTATTCAATGATTGTAAACACAAGACCTTGGGACTCATACTAGCACAGAGAGGGGGATCAGCATACTGAATGGAAGAGGAGTAGAAATAATATTAACTACAACGCATATTAAAACATCGGGATAACAGTACAAAATAAACAAATGAAATTAGAGAAATAAAAATTATACACAATATTTAGAAAAGGGTAGAGTTTTTTCTTGGTTCACTGTGATATAAATGAATGCGATATCTATTGTTTCGCACGTTTAGTGCCGAATATTTAACTCACTAATTATCTGGCATAATTGCAATTGTGTCCGAAAGTTAATTTTTAGTACATGTTTTTCTCCTTTCTCAGGATCAGAATAAGCTAACTGAGGAGTGGATAGTTAAACGGACTCATGAAGTACTTATGGAATTTTACGCTTACAATATTAACACCCCGTTTCAACTGGCTGTTAATGCTGGAATTACAGCAATTAAAACTCAGTATCCTTTTTTATTCCAAATAAACTATCAGTTATATAATTATACATTCATACGTTACCTATGTAGTATTTTGCGATGAACTCTTTACAAAAGGTGGAGCTAATTGGCTTATATGTCAGCAAACCCGTTATTCACAAGTAAATACTTAGTTTAAATGTTGTAGTTTATTCTCCATGGCAGAAAGGTGCCGACTGTAGTAACATATGTTCATCTCTTAACAATAGGTAAATAACATTAGTGCTTATGATGATGGGTTGCAGATTCAAGTTCTAGTGAGACAACCAACATTGGGATGACCGTATATCTAGATGGTAGAGGGCACATCGTGGTTGTAAAATATAACCTAGATATACGACTACGTTTAATATTGTGGGTGCTCTTATAATTATCCAATATACCACTATTTGTTTGTCAATTTAATTTTGTGCAGTTAAACTGAGCAGCTCAGTTGTAACATCTCTGACCATGGCACCAGTTTGAATCCCACAGAGAGCATCAATTTCTTGAAGATAACAGGTATTCATTGTGGACGAGTACAAACAAGTGGGAAACCAAGATCCAAACTTCCTTTCCGTTGCTTTTAATTATCTAACATCAAAGTGTATTCACCGATTGCAAAAATTCACAAACCTTTACCTCAAACACGTGTTGCTGAACCTCAGTGTTACAAAACGTAGTTGTCATTAGACGTAAACAATCCTTTTGATGATTGAACGCTGATAGTCGTCTAACATCCTCAACTTGGAGAGGTCAGGTCTTTCAAGGATAGAGAGAAACTGCTCACTGACGCATTGATGACCCGACATTTTTCCAGTTAGACTAACGTCGTGTCGGCGCCAAAGCTGACTCATTGACAGCAACCGCTCTGGTTTCCACGGTACATAGAGTAATCTTATTACTCACGCCACTACCAGCAATAACACAGATACTCAGACTTTTCGACTAACTCCAACTACTCGTCATCAAGCGTGATTGTAGACATAGACTATTCCCTGTCTTGTGAAATCACGTTGCATTTAGAGGATGCACAGTACATCCCATACCGGCAAGACTATAATTTATGGATGAACCAATCAGATATAAGATAACGAGTCGCGAAATTCATCTATACATTTGGCTAAATACAGTTTTGGCATTATAGCTTACGTTTGTATACAAAAGTCGATGAACTTCTCAGACACACCCTTCTACAGACAATCTCAGGGAACAGTCTAGTCCAACTAATCAAAGGCGACCCTGATGTCAAGAAACACATTGATTATTATCGTGCAATAAGTATGGCAGATCTCCAGAAGTTGGAGTTCCGTACGACCTTTTCCTCTTTAGACGAATCAGTCTTCATTGGCCTGGGTAAAGGAGAAAGTTTAACTAGTGTTGCTGGTTTGACAAACCAGCTGAACTGTCCCTCAAGGGTTTTTACCCGTCCTCCAAGACGTCACCAGATGTTATTGACTGGTGTCCCATTAAATTCATAGATTGTATAACTCACACTAGGCCTCTTATCTAATATCATTAGTCTTTCCGCATCATTTATAACTAAATCAGGACGTCATGTTTTCTATAACCTTACATCGCTCCTTCCAGTTACTGTTACAACCCAAATACTCAACATCGAGACTGTGCTGTTTGTCATCCATTAATCAACATGTTGGCAGTGAATTTACCATTTGCTCGTCATGATCATTCTATATTAACGTGTTACAAGACTGGTCTTCCTATGGATGATGAAAATCCCCCAATGTCATTACCAAATGGTTATGTTTACAGCCAAAAGGTATGTCAAACTTGTTTTAAATAAGTTTCACTAATTTGGTACTTCAGAAAGGTTTTCAGTACATTTATACTTGAATATATGGTATAGTTGGCTTTTAGCTCTTTACATCCGAAGGGTAAACTGAAATGAGAAACTATTTTTTTAAAACTGTAACTAGTGTTTATATGGACTAATTTCTCAGTAGAAATGTGGATATATAAATGAAGAATATCTTTTAAAATAAATTCTCACTAGGTTCTAATTCATGAATAGCCAAATATAAACCACTCTTTAGAATACTGCGTATTAATTTAGGATTATTAACGTGGTATTCATCTCAATATGTTTGGTTTTCAATTGTATTTTCACTAATCATTATAATATGGGAAACACATGGTATGAGAAATACTAATGTAATTAAAAAACGGGTAAAATTTTTTATCTGATAATTACTTTGAAGTGAAGAAGGAATAGTAAAATTAAGTGAGTACTGATGTTTCTTGTGTTTACGAAATCGGTAAAAATAATACCAGGATGTTAATCAAATCACATAAAAAAATTTTATGGTAGTAGCTTTAAGTCAAATAAGTTATAGGATTGGTTGACTTAACTGCTTATTATTATGGATTGAAAACTTATTTATTATAGCTACGTGTTGATTCCACCGGCTGAAGAATGATGATAATCATAAAGTATATATTTTGTCAACCTAACGCTTTGGCTAATAAAAGAAACTGGAAAAACACGGCACTCTTATCTGCTCTTAGTTCATATGTTTCGGACGATTGGCGGAACACTTTAGGGTGTAGTTCAGTTGGCCTTCGGCTACTCTACATCTACCCACCATTCTCAGACAGCCTGAATGGATTATTGAAGTAGGTTCCACGACTCTAGCTGAAGTTCAAAAAGATATAGCTAATCTGAAACGAGGAAGAGCAGCTGGTCCAAATGGATTGGCTCCAGATATCTTTAAGTATGGTGGTCAAAATTTAGCGATTAGGTTGACTAATATTTTAGCTAAATCCTGGGAGTTCGATGTAATCCCACCTGACTGGTCCCAGTTACTGATTGTCTCAATATATATGAGAAGAGGGTCAAAATCATCCTACAATAACCATAGAGGGATTAGTTTGACTAACATAGCATCGAAAGTACTAACCCCATTAATTATCGGGCGCTTAACAAAGACTCATGAACTGCGAACGCGAGAAAATCAGGCTGGCTTCAGACCTGGTCGTGGCCGTATCGGCCACATATTCACCATTCGTCAGGTTCTTATTTCTTATTTATTTATTTGAACACATATATATTGGTACAGGAGTGCGCCGAATATATATGCGCCACACAAAACAATGAGAATCTAAGAAGAAGAAAAAAGTGAGGAACGTAAAAAAAATCATAAAAAACAATAACGAAGAGATTGGTGTAGGGTATGTAATAATAATAATAGCAATAGTAGGGGGACAGAAGGGTACAATCAGAAGAAATCTTTCGGTTAAGGAAGATACAACCACTTTTTTTATGAAGAAAGTAAAAGAAGGTTACAGCAGGATCGCCACTGGCTTCTATTCTGAGCCATATCTGATAACGTCTCTAGCCACTGTGTTGCACCATCTCTCGGACCCCAACCAGGGAGTCGTCAGGTTCTAGAACGCAGGCATGCTTATCGGCGTCCGGAAATGATACTTTTTCTTGGTTTAAAAGCAGCATTTGATTCTGTAGACCGAGAGGTTCTGCAGCAATGTCTGTCATTGAAAGATGTACCTCAAAAGTACGTAGACCTTGTGAAGGCACTTTACTCGAACACCATTAGTCGAACTAAAGCTTATGGCGAACTATAATCTGATCTTGTAACCTCAAGTGGTATCCAACAAGGCCGTCCACTATCTCCACTTCTGTTCAACTTCACCACAGACATACTAATGGAAACAACGTTCTCGTCCACTGAATTCTCGGGCATTGATCTCCTTCCAGGAGATCCACTTATCGACTTAGAATATGCAGATGATATATTCATGTTTGGTGAAGACACTGATAAAATGCAGTCGTAGCTGACTGAAAACTTTCAAGATAACAGCATATCGAGGCAAAACATGAGTATGCTCCGGATACTTATATTTTAGGTATCCCTTTAGGCGAACAAACCCCGAGTGAGTAAGCACACACAGCGCGAAAGACATTACAGATAATATAAAGACCAAACTTCCTAAAGTATCAACAAACTATGAATCAAAGAAAGCACCTCATATGAACATTGCTTTCAAAGGTGATAGCACTGCAAGCATCATGAAGAGGATTATTCCTAAATGTCTCGAAAGGATCAATGTTCAGCAATGACCTAAATAACAAGCTCTTGCATCTGACCACTTCTGTGTGTATTTTTAAGTTCACTTGCTCCTGACGTGCTAGGTATATAGGCTCTTCGATAAGTTTCTTTTTTGAAAGGATTCAAGAAAATAACATGGTTAAAAATGTAGAGCTGGATCAAGACCCCCCTGAATGCCCTGGTACGGCCGAGAGTGGGGAGAGTCCGCTCTCCCTCTCGAAATACTCTCACACGGCCACGCGTATACAGCCTCTGCCAGGGAAGTCCTACTCATTGCCTTCTCGTGGCGGGGGTGTTGTTTACGAAAATGAGAGGACGAAAAGCGAATGTCCGGCGCTTTAACCGGATTCCAAATCAATGGTGCACATGGGCTCCAGTATCCTGCGGGAACAAATGGCGTATGAACCAATCGTTGGTCACCGGCTACCATGGGACTGCATCTCCTTACGATGCTCCACTGCCTTGTGGGTTAGACCTTTAGGTCAAAGGCTCGGGGAGTGGCCCCCTAAGATAACCACCTGCTTCGGTTTGGGCACCCGGGCAGTATCACAGCCCACACACAAATTGATGAACTCTTTATGCCTATGGAAATTACCTTTCTCGCTTTGAAAAACAAACAATTGATTCAGATTATTATCATTACAATTATTGTCATTATTAATACTGATATTATTATTACTACTATTATTGTCATTATTGTTATTATTATTATCATTATTATTATTATTTTCCACATTATTCACCCTCTTTTATACTTATACAGCGGCTCGTCTTTGGTGGAAATCCGACTGTATCTAAACGTTCTCGAGTCACTGTCCGGTTGAAAATTGTATGTTACCACCGAGTACGAGGACTGAAGCAGTTTTTCTGAAACCACGTGCGCCATTCAAACTGGCTGCCTTCAACGTTCGCACATTTATGCAGGTCGGACAACACATAGGGCTGGCTATGTCTTTGGAAAGTCTTAATATCGACGTGTGTTGTCTATCCGAGACCCGTACTCAAGACTCTGGCGAAGTACTACAAATTCGATCTCCATCTGTCGCTTCGAAAAGCTTGTTTTACGTGCGCTTATCCGGGGACCCTGTGGCATCTTCGTCTGGTCTTGCTGGCGTTGGTGTCGCACTAAGCGCTAGAGCTGAGGCAGCACTAGTCGATTGGATCCTCATTAACAGTCGGTTATGTGCTGTTAGATTAGAAAGTTCCATCAAAGTGAGAAGAAATCGGCGTGAGAAACGATGTTTTTCGTCATCTCCGCCTATGCCCCGACAGATTGCAGCCCGGATGCAATCAAGGATGAGTTTTACCACCAGTTATCAGTTCTTCTCCAGAAAGTGCGTTCGACAGATATTGTAGTACTAGCCGGAGACTTGAATGCTCAGGTCGGGCGTCTAGGCACAGATGAGAGTCGTTTAGGTGGCCGATGGGGACTCGTTGGTCGCAGGTCAGATAACGGAGACCGTCTACTGCAACTTTGCACAGACCACAACCTGTTTCTGGCTAGCACTAACTTTCGGCACAGTCATCGCCGATGTGCCACCTGGCATCCTCCCTCTGCATCTCAAGCCTGGACTCAGATTGATCACATCGCGATCAGCTACCGCTGGCGTGGTTGTGTACAGGACTGCCGCTCCTTTTGGAGTACCTATCTGGACTCTGACCATGCCTTGGTCTGCGCCAAACTTACCTTACTTTCCAGTGGACAACGAAGTGAACGCCATCAACGGATTGATGTTAGCAAGCTGGTTGAAACTTCTGCTGCTAGTAAGTATCGAAGCGAGCTAGCCTCTAGGCTAGCTACCACTCCACCGAAAAGTATAGATGAGCATTGGTTGCAATTGCATGACGCCATGAAAATGGCGGGAACAGTCAGTTGTGGGTTTGCGAAACGTCCCGCTTTTAAGCACTGGGTTTCTTCTGGTTCCTTACAACTCATTGAAGCCCGTCGGTCTACTCCGGGGGACCGTGAGTTTGACCATAAACGAAGGATGTTACGTGAGGAAATTGGGCAAACCTTGCGTAAGGACCGAGAAGCCTGGTGGTCGGAGCGTGCTAATGAGCTGGAAGCAGCAGCTGCATCTGGTAACTGCCGGAAGCTCTTCCAGCTCATCCGAGCCACTGGCAGCAAGAAGTCTGGTGTGAGTGAAACAATCTGCGAGGATGATGGGATGCCAATCACTAACATCCATCGACGTCTTGGACGATGGACAGAATTTTTCGAAGGGCAGTTCAACTGGCCTGCTGCTCCGGCAACATCGGTCAGACTGTCCTGCCCTCTATGGCCATGGACGACTGATCCACCAAATGAGGAGGAAGTCCGCAAGGAACTCCAACTCTTGAAGCGTTACAAATCACCTGGCCCAGATGACTTACCTCCGGCTCTTTTTAAAGGTGGTGGTGACTTTCTGACCAAGGAACTGACGACGTTGTTTACAAAGGTTTGGGAACCAACGTCATGGAATGAGTCGATAGTTGTCCCTATCTTTAAAAAGGGTTCACGTCGTTCCTGTAACAACTATCGGGGGATAAGTCTACTTCCGATTGCGTCCAACCTATTGGCTTCCGTCATACTTCGTAGGTTGTTCAAAACTCGAGAAAGATTGACTCGCGAAGAGCAGGCTGGGTTTCGTTCTGGTCGAGGATGTATTGATCATATCTTCACCCTCCGCCAAATGTTAGAACACCGCCACACTTATCAAAGGCCAACAATCGTAGTGTTTCTTGACATCAGGGCTGCCTTCGATTCGTTGGACAGGACTGTTCTCTGGGATTGTCTATTGAAAAAGGGTGTGCCTGAGAAGTTTATTAACATCCTAAAAGCCCTGTATAAAAACACCTCAGGCAGAGTGAGGGCATACAACCACCTCTCTCCATTGTTCCATTCGAGCAGTGGGGTTAGGCAGGGTTGCCCAATCTCACCATTCCTCTTCAACTTTGCCATCGATGACATTCTGGAAACAGCTCTGATGAATGTAAGTAATGGTGGTGTGGATCTGTTGCCTGGAGAAAGACTTCTCCACCTTGAGTATGCAGATGATATTGTCTTACTGTGCGATAATGCCCAACCCACGCGATCCGCACTTAATCAGTTGGCAATCAGTGTCCGTAGGTATGGTATGTGCTTTGCACCTTCGAAGTGCAAAGTACTTCTACAAGACTGGCAGGATTCTAATCCTGTACTCACCCTGGATGGTGAGCAGATAGAAGTAGTCGAGAAGTTCGTGTATCTAGGTAGCTGCATAAGTGCTGGTGGGGGTGTGAGTTATGAGATCAATGGACGTATAGTGAAAGCCAGAGTGGCTTATGCCAATCTGGGCCACCTTTGGCGCCTTCGTGATGTTAGTCTGGCTGTAAGAGGTCGGATCTACAACGCGTCAGTGAAAGCAGTTTTGCTCTATGCTTATGAAATCTGGCCTCTTCGAGTTGAGGATGTTAGACGACTTTCCGTGTTTGATCATCGTTGTCTCCGAAGGATTGCTGACATCCAGTGGCAACACCATGTCAGTAATGCAGAGGTTCGGCATCGTGTGTTCGGGCACAGAGACAATAATCCAATTGGTGTCACCATCTTGAAACATCGACTTCGGTGGCTTGGACATATTCTACGGATGTCGTCTCAGAGAATTACACGTCGTGCATTATTTGCCGACTCTGGGACTGGTTGGAAAAAGCGGAGAGGTGGTCAGTGTATGACATGGTGTCGTGGCATGAAAGAAAGCTGCAAAGGACTGGCTTGTATCGGTCCTTCACGACTCCCTGGTTGGGGTCTGAGAGATGGTGCAACACAGTGGCTAGAGACGTTATCAGATATGGCTCAGAATAGAAGCCAGTGGCGATCCTGCTGTAACCTTCTTTTACTTTCTTCATAAAAAGTGGTTGTGTCTCCCTTACCTGAAAAATTTCTTCTGATTGTACTTTTTCGTTCCGTCGTTACTACCACACTACCTTACTCCAATCTCTTCGTCATTGTTCTCTTTTTCTTTCGCGTTCCTTAGTTTTTTTTTCTTTCTACTTCTCCTCGAATTCCCATTGTTTTGTGTGGCGCATATATATTGGCGCTCTATTGTACCAATATTTATGTGTTCAAATAAATAAATAAGTGAACGACTTGTGAACAAGTCTGTACAGAACACAGTATTAGTTTTAGTGCATAATTAGTTGTAATATGTATCGTTTGGGAAATGATTAGTTGAGCATTACATTCTTTGGTTGTTATCAACAATTTTCTCAATAATGATAGAAATAACATCTTATCTGTATCAATCCATCACAATATAAAAGTTAACTGTTACTGTGTATAAAGTCTTGTGCAAAATGAGAGAGTGACTAGATCCTCAGAATAAGATGACTTTATTCTACTCCAAGGCTTTTCACTAGCTGTAAACAAAATTAAGTTACACCGTATAATATGATCAGTGATAAAGATTTGACACCATTTGTTTAATGAAGTTGAGATGCAGCTCAAAAGAGGATAGGCATTCCGAAGACACAAAATACAGGACTAAACACTTCAGTTAAGATTAAATATGACTAATCTATTTGTGTAAATTAGGGGGAGTGAGGTCGATATTTCATAACTATGGTTGTCACATAACAACCCACATCAATAACACTGCAAATCAATTAAAGCTGAAATCTAGTTCAAGATACTAATGCAAATCCTTGGGAAGTAATTTTCAATATATAGTAAAAAATCTAATACATTTTATTGGTTTTATTAATTTTACTTGTTTTTGTAGGGTATCGCTGAGTTAACACGTCCAGATGGAACAATAACATGTCCTCGTTCAGGGAAAACATTTGAAGCCTCAGAAGTCCAGAGAGTCTACATAGTCTGATTGCTTGACAGTTTTTCCGATATGCATCCACCATTACATTGTTACCTTTTTTGTTCTTCATTCATAATTTTCATTTCTCGCCATCAGAATATCCTGTGGATGATCTTATCTTTCATCTTTTCGGTTGGTAATTGTACAAAGTTCTTCCATGTACATCGTCAATATTTACGACCGACAAATTGATTACTATGAGTTGTATACATTATATTAACCTCATTGATATGTATTGTAATTGCATACAACTTCATACCAAAAAATTTAAATAAAGACTGCCACTTCCTGATTTTCGAACAAAACTTAACAGTAAACAGTCTACTGGGAAATTACGTCGAACAAGATAAGGTATCACAGTAACTAATCGCAACTACGTTTTTAAAACTAAAATCATGTTAAGATGGTCTTATAACATACTGATGATTAAGGCGAATGAACTGCTAATTTTTTAGTGGCACAAATACCCTAATCTTATATGGATAGATTTCAGAGAACAGCACCAACCGACGGAGTAAATACGAGATTAAAATTATTTTCATATAGAATATATTTAACCCAAAATAGTGATCTCATCTATAAAATCGTTACCGTACGCTATCCAAGTCTAAGAGCAATAAGCTCTTTCGCTTAACAATAGGTGACAAATGAAGGGGAAATCAATCTCAACCGAACAACGATGAAAAATAAAGTTCTAATGTTCGTTATTACGACTGTCTGCATATGCTTAAATGCAAGGCAAAGGGAGGGATAAATTATGAATTGAAAGACTATCACTCTTCTTACACACAATTTATTTGAACACATAAATACTGGTGCAATGAGGAACCAGACACATATGCGCCACACAAGTCGCACTTGATTTGTATGAGGGCTGTGATACTACCCGGGTGCCCAAACCAAAGCAAGCTGTTTTCTTAGGGGGCCACACCCTGGGCCTTTGACCTGGAGGTCCAGTCCAGTGGATCAACGTAAGGAGATGCAGTCCCTTGGTAGCCGGTGACCAATAGTTGGTTCATACGCCTTTTTTTCGCTCAGGATCCTGGAGCCCATGTGCACCATTAGTTTGGAATGAGGGTTTTCCAACTCCCCTAGGTGGACTCTTAGTGTCCACCAACCCGGTTAAAGCGCCGGACACTGTTGATCACTGGAAAGTGAACTGTATGTAACAGTCTAATCATAAAAATATAAGTTTACTAAGTAGTATCTGATATTAACTTGTTTTTACTTGATAACATATTCAGGGATCGGTGATTGTACTAGGTAGTGCAACGATAAATGAATGTTGTCTTGCTAACAAAAGCGAGACATAGTGATATTATCCTGCACTTCAGAACATATCTTCATACAATAGTACAAGAGATCACAAATGATTTTTAAGGATCCTCCAAACCTGTCACTGAGATACAGTTTTTTTATATATGTTTTTGACGGAATTACTATCGAATCCCATTGTAAAATAAGACGCAAAAAACACGGAGTTTTGATTGCATCACTTAAATGCTTGAAATTTGTACAAAAATATACATTCTAAAGGCCACAAAATAAAGTATTAGTTCTTTTTCTCTCCTTTATTTGTATCCAAGTCAACGTTAACATTGGAATCTGTTGTCGGGATTGACGAAAAATGACTGTCGTTTACAACTTGATAACTTGAGTTTATTTCATCACTATTTTCAAAGCCAAGAATTTCCCCAGTTTGTGCCATACTTGCTAACAGGTCACTAGACATATATTTCTCAAGAATTTCACGTTTGCGCTGGGCTACTAGTGCCGCTTCAATCTGCAAATACAAATACGTGATAATCATAAGGGTAATTAAAGAATTAAAAAAAAATTGATGGTAAGTGTTTTAACAAGCCTGCAATTAGTGGTAGATTGAATGCTATTTGATAAAAAAAAGTACAAAACACAGATTGGTGAGTTGTATGCATTATGTGTTGGAGGTTCTACAATAAGATTATTGATAAATGCATAATATCTCAAAGCTACATACAGTGTTTCAACATAAAGTTGGGTCTGGATCACATCGCATGCACAATGTGTGGCGCATTGGATGTTTATAAAATACATTATAAATAATTTAGACTACTACATTACAGCATCTGCGTTTGTTGTAAGGTTAAAGGAAGTAACGAACTATTTTATAAAAATATGAATATTAATCTCACCTGCTCTTGTGAGTAGATTGGAACATGGGCGACGAATGCTCGCTTCACCGTGGTGCTTAAAGAACTCATAGATTTGGTCGCCGACCTTCCTGTATGATCATCTAAGTCATCTGTATTTTCGTCGTCATTTATTAGTGCTACTAATTGTTCTGCATTAGAAAAGTCAATCGACCCAACTTCATTATTTTCATCGATTGCCTCATAAAGACGCATCAATTCTATATCAGCCGGCTGTGTAAGAAAAACAAAGTCAATCCAGATGTTAAATTATGCGAGAGCAAATAACACTTCAAAGTTGCTTGAAACCTAGTAACAAATTAGCATTTAAAAGGCAAAATTGTATATACTTTGTGTGGGGTCAATAAAAGATAATAAACGTAGGTGGTTAAAGAATCGCTTAAACAATTGTTTAATTCTAGGTTGGATAAATGAATATTTTAGGGGGAAATACTGAGAAAATGGAGACAGAATTCTTAGAAATGAAAGGATAGTGTTGTAGTTCATGTAATACCCAATCAGTAGGAATTCGAGAATATAGGGACACACCCCGGTCCCGCTTCGTTGTCTCCCACTGATTACAGTACGGACAAATTTAAATACCGCCAGTGGGGATCCAATCGATTAGTATTGCTTCTACCAGTGAGACACAAATAAAAAACCCAGATAAACATGCTATAGGATCCTTGAATAAACTCATGTAACGCAGCGGTTTCAAATAGATTGATAGAAAGCGGTTTTGTCGTACTTTACTAGTCCTGAATAGAAGTATCGGATAGAAAACATTTTTCGATGTTAGGACTTCCTAAAGATATACCCAACTCTATCACTTGTCCGGTCTGTATTAGTGTGAGGACGCTGACGGGTGCCATTTTGAATGGCACACGTGGTCTCAGGAAGGCTGATTCAAAATTCGTATTCGGCGGTAGCACTCAACTGTCAATAAATCAGTGACTTAAGACCGGTTAGAAAGGACAGAATTTCTACCATAGGTGAGCTGTTGTATTAGTTTGAAAATAAAATACAGAAAATGAGAATAAAAAGAAATATACAAGCCACGCAATGTAAAATAAAAACGAATGTTATCAAATAATCGTGTATATAATACTGTCCAGTTCCAAAAACCACAACACATGAGGCGGGATTCAGTCCCAAGTTTTAGAAAGCTAAATCGTTTAAACACTAAGCCACCGCTCCATGAACATCACTTAGTGTACCTGAAACCTAAGGGACTTAAGATCAAGGTATGAATTTAAACAAATAAAGGTATATTACTTACTTACGCCTGTTACTCCTAATGAAGCATAGGCCGCCGACCAGCATTCTTCAACCCACTCTGTCCTGGGTCTTCCTCTCAAGTTCTGTTCAATTTTTGTTCATTTTTCTCATGTCTATCTCCATTTCCCGGAGTAATGTGTTCTTTGGTCTTCCTCTTTTCCGCTGGCCTTGAGGATTCCATATGGAGGCTTGTCGTGTGACGCAGTTGGGTGCTTGCCTCAATGTGTGTCCTATCCACTTCCAGCACTTCTTTCTGATTTCTTCCTCCGCTGGGTTCTCGTTTGTTCTTTCCCACAGTACGTTGTTGCTAATAGTGTCCGGCCAACGGATCCGAAGTATTTTGCGTAGACAACTGTTAATAAACACCTGTACCTTCTGGATGATGGCTTTCGTAGTTCTCCAGGTTTCCGCCCCATACAGTAGAACTGTCTCGACATTTGTATTGAAAATCCTGACTTTGGTGTTGGTTGACAGTTGTTCTGATTTCCAGACGTTCTTCAGTTGTAAATATGCTGCTCTTGCTTTGCCGATCCGCGCTTTCACATCTGCACCAGACCCACCATGTTCATCAATGATGCTGCCCAAATATGTAAAGGTTTTTACATCTTCCAAATCTTCTCCATCAATGGTGACTGGATTGGTGCATTCTGTGTTGTATAGGAGAATCTTGCTTTTCCCTTTTTGTATATTCAGACCTACTGCTGCTACACTGGTCGTTTTCTCCTGCATTTGTTGTTGCGATTGCGATAGGAGGGCCAGAACATCTGCGAAGTATAGATCGTCCAGCTGCATTCCAGATGCCCACTGTATCCCGCGTTTCCCTCCAGATGTTGACGTCTTCATGATTCAGTCGACCACCAGGAGAAAGATAAAGGGTGAGAGTAAGCAACCTTGCCTGGCACCGGTCTTTACCTCGAACCAGTCTGTCAATTGTCCTCCATGCACAATTTTGCAGTGTAATCCATCATATGAGTTCTGTATGATATTGACTATCTTCTGGGGCACGCCGTAGTGTCGAAGAAGTTTCCATAGTGTTGTTCTGTCCACGCTATCAAATGCTTTCTCGTAGTCAATGAAGTTGATGTAGAGTGATGAATTCCATTCAATTGATTGTTCCCCAATGATCCGTAGAGTTACGATTTGGTCTGTACATGATCTATCCTTACGGAATCCTGCCTGTTGGTCACGAAGTTGGACGTCTACGCAGTCCTTCATCCTGTTTAACAATACCCTGTTGAAGACTTTTCCCGGTATTGTGAGAAGAGTGATGCCCCTGTAGTTATCACAGTTGCTGAGATCGCCTTTCTTTGGCATTTTGACCAGAAGTCCTTCTTTCCAGTCTGTTGGTACTTGTTTCTCATCCCAAATCTTATTGAAGAGAATGTGGAGGATCCTTGCAGTTGCCGCTACGTCTGCTTTCAGTGCCTCTGCTGGAATGTTGTCTGGTTCTGCTGCTTTGTCACTCTTGATTTGTCTGATGGCCATGCTGATCTCTTCAATTTTTGGTGGGCCAACATCGATTGGGAGGTCCGTGGGTGCTACTTCGATGTTGGGTGGGTTCAGTGGGACTGGTTGATTCAAGAGTTCTTTGAAGTGTTCTACCCACTTGTTTCGTTGTTCTTCGATGTTAGTGATTACTTTGCCTTCCTTGCTTTTCACTGGTCGTTCTGGTTTATGGTAATTTCCAGTGAGTTTATTTTTTGTGTCATACAATTGTCTTATGTTTCCTTCTCTTGCAGCCTTTTCCGCCGTCGTTGCTAAATCTTCCACATATTCACGTTTGTCAGTTCTGATGTTCCTCTTCACTTGCTTGTTTACTTCTGTGTATTTAGCTTGTGCCTTGGCTTTTTCTGCTCTTGTTCGGCTGGTATTGATTGCTGCCTTCTTGTCCCTCCTTTCTTTAATCTTATCCAGTGCATCAACAGTGATCCATTCCTTGTGATGGTGCTTCTTGTGGCCCAGAACCTCATGACATGTTGAAGTGATTGCTTTTTTGATCTCCTTCAAGTTGTTCTCCATAGTAGTTCCTTCTCCATTGAGTGGATCATGAAAGGCCTGGAACTTATTGCTGAGGACTATCTTGAATTCGCTGGGTTTGTCAGTATCCCGAAGAAATAAAGGTATATGCGTTTACAGAAATATGTTTACGGCAATTATATGGAAAATTAATTACAGCTAGAAACACAGCATATTAAGATGATGAGCCCTTGTGATTAATTGTCATATTATAAGTGAATATCGAACGCCCATACCCCGAATATACTTACATTGTCACCAACGTCATATATGTTTCTGGTATCCGCATTATCCTCATCTAGTTCATCAAATTCATCCCCGAGCGGCTTGCATGAATATCCTGGTTGAGAGTCAGATGCTTTACGATATTTCCATTCAGCAATTTTATGCGCAATAGCTGGACAAAACCCAAAATATTAAAAGACATCTCGATACCTTCTTGCTCATAAACAGCTTCCTGAGGTACAATTACACCATCATCTTCATCACAGTTACCATAATACGATACGTCAACTAGCTTCATTAACTCGCCTCTAGATTTCCTAGCTACTGGTTGAGCTAAAAAAAAACAGTAAGCATTATAACAAGTAACAAAGCTTACAAAAACGTTTTAGTCAATACTATAACTATTATGTCTACATAAGAACTTTAGCCTTTGCTTTTAATAACTAAACAGCATATTCCAAAATTCAAGATCTTACAATATCTTTATGAGGGTATAAGTAGATATCATCAAACACGTTGAAAAATTAACGATACTGGAACAAAACTTAGATCTAATGGTCTACAGAATATAAACTGGTCTTTAAATAGAAGATTAATCAAAGTTTAGTGGCAAGTCAATAAAGACGGTAGCGTTTTTGTGTGAGGTGAATTAAGGTTATCAAATGTTATCAACTAGCATTTTCGAACGTATTTGCTACCTTGATATTGTAATCAGGAGAAGATGGTTGAGACATGTGTTACGTATGCCCAACTATCACCTATGTCCACGAGCGACGTTCTCTAGTGTAGAAGTATGCTGGAAGAAAGCTGAGGGTAGCCAAACCAAGACGTGACACCATTCTGCGAATTCAGTGCCGATCGAACTGAACCATGTTAACGCATGTGAACTATCTGGTTTGGGTCCACGTGATTATTGTAGCCAACGGTTAGAGACTTTGATTGACATGGATCAAAATCGTCTCCAATGGCGGAGGTACATTTGCTCCTGATCTTCCTTTAGAACGTTGGTTACGAAATCTCCCTACACCTTTTTCTATATCCATAAGTGGTTATATTTCTACTACTAAAGATTTTGTTGTTACTTTCAGTACTCGGATTTGTCTCGAAATAATTTTATCTCGGTATACACTAAGGTAAGTTGTGACGATGTAAATTTTAAGTTCTACGTTGCGTACGATAATGACCAGCATTTACTTTAAGTTGCGAAACGATAGACAATTTGACCACTACTTTCCTCCGTAATATGTTTGTTGGAGGATTCAATTAATAGATGAAACTCCAGAGTGGTCAGGTTAACACACCAACCCATAAAATAGTTAGTTCTACCTGCCCACGCAAATACTATTTGTGAAACATGAGTTAAGCGCCTGAAGACTTGAGATGCCGTTATTCCAAATGCTGCAGTATCGTAAACATATTAAGTTCGTGATTCTAGACAACTGATCAGTATATGCTGTGATACAAGTCTCAAATGGTCTTAACCTATTCGCATAATTTTCTGTCACTACTGGCCTTATTATAAAGATAATTTTAGTTTTTTTCTCTAATGGTTTATTATTGTTGTACTCAACTACGACTGTTATTGTTTAGTATGCCTAAAACCAGCTAATTAAGGATACTGAGTAAGCCCAGATTTATGGTTGGTCGTAATTCAATTACTTCATCTAGTAAACTACAGTCAATTCCCTCCGATTTATTAGAAGCCAGTAACCAAGGCAATGTAACACCAAACAGTATTTTTCAGTCATATACAAATACATCATGAAGCCCCCAACATTCATTATGCGATGACATACAAACCGTTTGTTGGTTTTAAAAATACCCAACCTTACCAGCAAGATTATCATAAGACTAGTATTCCACATGAAGACATAAAATTATATTACTACGTGGTCTAAAGTAATACTACCATATTATTTCCTAATAAGTATACGGTAGCAAGTCTAGCTGGGTAGTACTAACTTGAGATTGAAATTAGCCTTAAGTCACTGTAACAATCGAGGGCAGAGTAAATGCAGTCAAGTCTAATTGGCTATTTTAAAAGGACAGTGGTATTTTTTATCACAAAGTTAATTTTATTGCTTTCATCGTTTATTACGGATTAAGACTACTGTTTTCGCTTTAATTGAATTTATATCAGTTAAAGTATTCAACAAGAGTATCGTTTTTTTTCAATGCACGTATAGTGAAAGCCAGAGTGGCTTATGCCAATCTGGGCCACCTTTGGCGCCTTCGTGATGTTAGTCTGGCTGTAAGAGGTCGGATCTACAACGCGTCAGTGAAAGCAGTTTTGCTCTATGCTTATGAAATCTGGCCTCTCCGAGTTGAGGATGTTAGACGACTTTCCGTGTTTGATCATCGTTGTCTCCGAAGGATTGCTGACATTCAGTGGCAACACCATGTCAGTAATGCAGAGGTTCGGCATCGTGTGTTCGGGCACAGAGACAATAATCCAATTGGTGTCACCATCTTGAAACATCGACTTCGGTGGCTTGGACATATTCTACGGATGTCGTCTCAGAGAATTACACGTCGTGCATTATTTGCCGACTCTGGGACTGGTTGGAAAAAGCGGAGAGGTGGTCAGTGTATGACATGGTGTCGTGGCATGAAAGAAAGCTGCAAAGGACTGGCTTGTATCGGTCCTTCACGACTCCCTGGTTGGGGTCTGAGAGATGGTGCAACACAGTGGCTAGAGACGTTATCAGATATGGCTCAGAATAGAAGCCAGTGGCGATCCTGCTGTAACCTTCTTTTACTTTCTTCATAAAAAAAGTGGTTGTATCTTCCTTAACCGAAAGATTTCTTCTGATTGTACCCTTCTGTCCCCCTACTATTGCTATTATTATTATTACATACCCTACACCAATCTCTTCGTTATTGTTTTTTATGATTTTTGTTTATGTTCCTCACTTTTTTTTTCTTCTTAGATTTTCATTGTTTTGTGTGGCGCATATATATTCGGCGCACTCCTGTACCAATATATGTGTTCAGATAAATAATAAATAAATAATTTGGATCTAACAATTTACGCTTTTTTTTAATTTTTCCTGGTCAACGGTTTCCCTTCTCTCTAGGTATTCTTCGTGTCCATTTTCTGTCTGTTAAGTTCTGATGACTGACCGATGCAAAAAGAAAGTTATTACCAACGCTGTCGATACCCTGTGGAGAGTGGCACGCAGTGCGATGAGTGTAGTGTTACCAAGAAGTTTGCACGAATCTCACACATATAGCTTTAAAATGGTTTAGTAAAAATAGATGCGTGTGGTTGGCTCGCTAAATGAACTTGATGTAGGCGAATCCATGGGACCTGATGAAATGCATCCTAGGTTACTAAAGGAATTAGCAACTCCTCTCAAGAATCCCTTGAGCATATGTTTTAATCAATCGGCGACCCAAGGTAGATCACCAAAAAACTGGAAGAACGTCATAGCAAGTCCTGTCTTCAAAACAGATACAATATAGACCTGAGGACGATCGACCCTTAGGCCTGATTTAGAGTAGTTGTTAAGGCTTTAGAAAAGTTTATTCTTTCTGAGAAACAGTATGGCTTTAAAACAGGTTATTTTAGTTTCACTGACATTAATAGCCCGTGAAAGTTGGTGCACTCTTAAAGATCAAAAGTTACCCATAGATGTAGTCTACATTCACTTCAGTAAGGCTTTTAACAAAGCTCATCACAACCGGCTGTTATGTAAGTTAAGTAATATTGAGATTAGAGGCAATCTATTAATGTAGATAAAGGACTTCCTGGTAGGATGCCAACAAAGAGTACGGGTGAACTCGAAGTTCTCTAGCTGGTAGACTGTGCTTAGCGGAGTGTCTCAGGGTACAGTTTTGTTCCTCCTATGTGTAAATGACCTTCCTAGTCTCCAGTAGTTACTTTTTTTATGTGCTGACGATGTAAAGATATGGAGAGCGATAAAAAAATAAAGGTGATGGTTTAGAGCTTCAAAATAACCTGGAGGAATCATCTGGATGGTCTCAAACTTGGCAGTTGCCGATAAATACTTCCAAATGCATTGTGGTGCATGTTAGTCATCAAGGTACAGATACACAGTGAATAACATTGATCTGCCTGTTGTCCAGACACAGTGATTTAGGAGTCATCGTTAGACAAGACTTAAAAGCTACTGTACACTGCCGTGCGATAGCCGCCACAGGACTTAGAACCCTGCGGTCAATATGTCTTTAGCCGTGTAGATGCGAAATCCTTTTCAACTTTCTATACAGTATTCGTTCGTCCTAAATCCGAGTACTGTATATAAGTCGCTAACCCCTGTCTGGAAAGACAGTGGGCTGTTAGAAAAGGTTCAAGGAACAGCAACTAAACTGATTTCCAAAACTGCAAAGCCGCGCAAATGCCCTGTTATGGCCGAGAGTGGGGTGGGTTCGCCCTCCCTCCCTACCGAAATGCTCTCACACGGCCACGCGCACACAGCCTCTGCCAGGGAAGTCCTACTCACTGACTTCTCGAGGCGGGGGTGTCGTTTACGAAAATGAGAGGACGAAAAGCTAATGTCCGGCGCCTTAAACGGATCCCAAACCAAATCAATGGTGCACATGGGCTCCAGTATCCTAAGGGAACAAATGGCGTATGAACCGATCGCTGGTCACCGGTTACCATGGGACTGCATCTCCTCCCGATGCTCCACTGCCTAGTGGGTCAGACCTTTAGGTCAAAGGCTAGGGGTGTGGCTCCCTAAGAAAACCACCTGCTTCGGTCTGGGCACCTGGGCAGTATTACAGCCCACACACAAATAAAATGAAAATGACAATATTTACTGAAAATTCTATTCATGCTTCGATTTACAGACAAACAATTCACATTATTATTATTATTATTATTATTATTATTATTATTATTATTTACCACGTCACTTATTCACTCTCTTTTATTTCCACTTTGTGCATCCTTATTTTTCGACTTATACAGCTGTTCGCCCATGGTGGAAACTCTGTTCTATCTAAACGATCTCGAGTCACTGACTGGTTAAAAATTGAATGCTACCACTGAACACGAATATTGAAAGTTTTTCTGAAACCACGTGCACCATTCAAACTGGCTGCCTTCAACGTTCACACACTAATTCAGGTCAGACAACAGATAGGGCTGGCTATGTCTTTAGAAAGTCTTAATATCGATGTTTGTTGTCCATCCGAGACCCGTATTCAAGACTGATGAAGTACTACAAATTCGCTCTCCATCTGTCACTTCAAAAAGCTTGTTTTACGTGCGTTTATCTGGGGACCCTGTGGCATCTTCGTCTGGTCTTGCTGGCGTTGGTGTCACATTAAGCGCTAGAGCTGAGGCAGCACTAATCCCCATTAACAGTCAGTTATGTGCTGTTAGATTAGAGAGTTCCATCAAAGTGAGAAGAAATCGGCGTGAGAAACGATGCTTTTCGTCATCTCCGCCTATGTCCCGACAGATTGCAGCCCGGATGAATTCTATCACCAGTTAACTGTTCTTCTCCAGAAAGTGCGTTCGACAGATATTGTAGTACTAGCCGGAGACATGAATGCTCAGGTCGGGCGTCTAGGCACAGAAGAGAGTCGTTTAGGTGGCCGATGGGGACTCGTTGGTCGCAGGTCAGATAACGGAGACCGTCTACTGCTACTGTGCACAGATCACAACCTGTTTCTGGCCAGCACTAACTTTCGGTACAGTCACAGCCGATGTACCACCTGGCGTCCTCCCTCTGCATCTCAAGCCTGGACTCAGATTGATCACATCGTGATCAGCTACCGCTGGCGTGGTTGTGTACAGGACTGCCGCTCCTTTTGGAGCACCTATCTGGACTCTGATCATGTCCTGGTCTGCGCCAATCTTACCTTACTTTTCAGTGACCAACGAATTGATCGTCACTAAAGGATTGATGTTAGCAAGCTGGTTGAAACTTCTGTTGCTAGTAAGTATCGAACCGAGCTAGCTTCTAGGTTGGCTACTATTCCACCGAAAAGTATAGATGAGCATTGGTTGCAATTGCATGACGCCGTGAAAATGGCGAGTACAGTCAGTTACGGCTTCGCGAAACATCTCGATTATAAGCACTGGGTTTTTTTAGGCTCCTTACAACTCATCGAAGCCCGTTGGTCTACTCCGGGTGACCGTGAGTTTGACCACAAACGAAGGATGTTACGTAATGAAATTGGGCAAAGCTTGCGTAAGGACCGAGAAGCCTGGTGGTCGGAGCGTGCTAATGAGCTGGAAGCAGCAGCTGCATCTGGTGATTACCGGAAGCTCTTCTAACTCATCCGGGCCATTGACAGCAGGAAGCCTGGTGTGAGCGAAACAATCTGTGAGGATGACGGGATGCCAATCACTAAAATCCATCGACGTCTCCGAAGAACAGTTCAACTAGCCTGATGCTCCGGCAACACCGGTCAGACTGTCCTGCTCTCCATGGCCGGTGACAACTGATCCACTATATGAGGCGGAAGTCTGCAAGGAACTCCAACTATTGAAGCGCTACAAATCACCTGGCCCAGATGACTTACCTCCGGCTCTTTTTAAAGATGGTAGTGACTTTCTGATTAAGGAACTGACTGTGTTGTTTACAAAAGTCTAGGAACTAGAGAGTGTACCAACGTCATGGAATGAGTCGATATTTGTCCCTATCTTTAGAAAGGGTTCACATCGTTCCTGTAACAACTATCGGGAGTTAAATCTACTTCCGATTGCGTTTAAGCCATTGGCTTTCATCATACTTCGTAGGTTGTTCAAAACCCGAGAAAGATTGACTCGCGAAGAGCAGGCTGGTTTTCGTTCTGGTCGAGGGTGCATTGATCGTATCTTCACCCTCCGCCAAATGTTAGAACACCGTCACACTTATCACAGGCCAGTCAGTAACAACGTAGAACTCCGTACGTACGTACATCAGTTCGAGTCGCCACACCACATTAGTACAGAGATGCAGTGGTCGATTCAAATCCCGTGGTGGTGGAGGTAGTAAGAGTATAAGCAGTAACCGGGAAGATTAGGGTTTGAAGATGTTGCTAAAGGAGTATAATCCAGTGAAATAAGTTTGGAAAGAGGAAAAAAGGGACATGAAGAATTCAGATTAGAATTTGGGAGAACATAGAGAGTGGATGCACCTGCGCCATTGCAAACGACTTTGAGCAATGCCATTCAAGGTCTCTAAACATCGGTTTATATCGTCTCGCGGATTCCAACCAGGTAGTCTACACCTACCAACATGACTCAGTCCACTTGTCAGTGACTTCATGGACTTGTGCCATGTTTTGGTTTGGCCGCCCATAGCTTTCTTCCAATCTACTCCTATACAACAAAGCATCGCACGTCGAAGCAGTCGGTCGTTGGGCATACGTAACACGTGTCCCAGCCATCTCAACTGATGAAGTTTCACTACGTCATCAATTGATTTGCCATCCTCACCTAGTACACGTTTCCTAACAACTGCATTACTTACTCGATGGTCCCAGGATATACGAGCAATGTTTCGAATACACCTATGATCGAATACTAGTAACCTTCGAATATCCTCTACACTTACCGGCCATGTTTCACTGCCATAAAGTAGGACGGAACGAACTGCTGCGCAGCAAACTCGTCCTTTGGTTGATAGACGGATATCTCGCCCACGCCATAAATGACGCAAGTTGGCAAAAGCTAGTCGAGCCCTCTGTGTCCGTGCTGAGATTTCGTCACACACTAGACTACAAGGGCTGATGAGACTTCCAAAATAAGTGAAGCGATCGACACGCTCAACTACTTCACTCCCTATCATTAGTTCGGGTGTCGGTGCAACCCTATCCTGAAGCAACATTTTGCATTTTGAGGGGGAGAATCGCATCCCGAACATGCTTGTATTGTTGCTTAGAGTGGTCAGAAGACTCTGCATTTTGTTAACGTCTTCACCAAATAGAACTATGTCATCAGCATATTCTAAGTCAACAAGTGAACCTCCCGGTAGAAGTTCAAACCCTGAAAATCTAGGTGAGGAGAGTGTTATCTCTAAAAGCGCGTCAACGACAAAGTTGAACAAGAATGGAGAGAGTGGACAGCCCTGACGAACACCACTTGAGGTAATCAATTCTGATGACAGTTCGCCATAAGCTCTCACTCTACCAGTTGTGTTCGAGTAGAGAGCCTGTATAAGGTTAATGTACTCCTTTGGTACTCCTTTCAGTGACAGAGTCAAATGCCGCCTTAAGGTCGAGAAATACTACCCTTGTGGGGCGTCTGAACGTTTGTCTGTGTTCTAGAACCTGATGTAGTGTGAATATATGATCTATACAACCACGTCCAGGTCGGAAACCAGCCTGGTTTTCTCTAATCTGCTCTTCACGAGCTTTGATTAGGCGTCGACGTATTATTGAAGCTAATATTTTAGACACTATATTAGTCAAACTGATTCCTCTGTGATTGTCACAAGAGGACTTTTGTCCTTTCTTATAGACTGGCACAATCAGTGATTGAGACCAGTCAGATGGGATTACGTCCAGTTCCCAAATTCTACCTAAGTCCTCGGTTAATCTCATTGCTAATACTGGACCACCATCCTTAAAAATCTCAGGAGTAAACCTGTCAGAGCCTGCTGCTCTCCCTCGTTTCAGATTTCCTATGGCTTTTTCAACTTCATAAAGAGTCGGAGGACCTACATTAACTTGCCATTCAGGTTGACTGGAGGTCGTGGGAAACCGAAGTGTGGTTGAAGGCCAGTTGAACTGACCCCTAAAGTGTTCTGCCCATCGATCCAATCTCCTGGATTGAGAATGTATAATATGTCCATCTTTCGCTGAGATTGTTTCGCTAACAGTCGGTTTCCTAATACCAGTTTCCTTAACAAGTCTGCTTAAAGTTAGTATTTGCAAGGAACAGGCGGTTATCTGAGCATAGCTGCAACAGATGGTCGCCATTATCTGTTCTTTGAGCCACGACACTATAAGATCCACCCAGGTGTCTTTCCCTATCGCTTAGTTTACCTACTTGAGCATTAAAGTCACCGGCCACTATTACTACATCAGAGCGCCTAGCTTTTCGGAGAAGGTCGGAGAGCTTTCTGTAAAACTCATCTTTTACATCATCTGCGCTGCAGTCAGTGGGAGAGTAGGCAGAGACGACGAAGAGGCAACGACGAGTGTCCCTATCTTTTCGGACCCTTACTGTTCCATTCAGTCGGACAGCGCACAAACGACTGTCTACTGGGATCCACTCTAAGAGAGCTAGTTCTGCCCTAAGACTCAATGCTATACCTACGCCGGCGAGGCCACGGGAAGCAAAATCAGGGCTTCCAGATACACGAAGTGTGAATCGAGTTGGTTCTTTATTTTGGCATGGTGAGGTCAAATGAATGACGCTACTCGGATCCTGTATGCGCGTTTTGGAGACGCAGCACACATCGATGGCGCGGGATTCTAAAGTCTTAGCTAAGGAAGCCTGCTATCCTATTTGGCTGTGTTCGAAGGTTAAAAGCTCTTACGTGTAGTTTAGTACGTGGTTTCAGAAGACCAGGAATAACGTTCCACGTACTCGAATCGTTTGCCCTAGCGGTGCGAGGTGATAAAGAGACGTGAGAAGGGTTAGTCATGGAGATAAGAGAGGTATTAGGAGATATAGGAAGGATTTGAATGTGACCAACTTGGTCTCGTGTGCTGTTACGGGTATGAGGGCTGATATCACTTACCGGCTGCCCACACCGTGGAAGGGTATTTCTTGAGGAACTTGAAAAGGAAATCGGACTAGTGTTGGTCTTAACGACCTGGGAGCGTGAACGCAGAGCTCAAGGGACAACTGTTTGAGGCCGGTCACGCACGGCCTTTTCGTGGAAGGTTTTTAATGTGTTAGCGCCGTTCTTCAAAGGGCCTTACCGCCGGCGACGGAAGTCCGTGAGGTAAGGTGAGGCGTGACATTTTTAGGGTCGATCTTTTCTAACCCCACCCCTCCTTGTGGGAAGGCAGCATCGCTGCAGATGCTGGTTGTCCGAGGGAAACACCTTACTGCTGTCACACCCCTCTACAGTCAGCAGTGCGACTTCGCTCTCAAACATTGAGTTGCTGCTTTTAGTCTTACCGTTCTCCAATCGACCTGCCTGGCATGGTAGAACCACAGGAACATATGTTCCAGCCAATATAGCTCGGTTGGGTCATTACGATAGGCAAGCCCGACCACCGCGTCAAGGTAGCATCTTCAGCCGGGATCACGGGCCAACAATCGTTGTGTTTCCTGATATCAGGGCTGCCTTCGGTTCGTTGGACAGGACTGTTCTCTGGGATTGTCTATCGAAGAAGAGTGTACCTGAGAAGCACATTAACATCTTAAAGGCCCTATATACCAACACCTCAGGTAGAGTGAGGGCATACAACTACCTTTCTCCATTGTTCCACTCACGAAGTAGGGTTACACGGGGTTACCCAATCTCTTCAGTTGGCAATCAGTGTCCGTAGGTACGGTATGTGCTTTGCACCTTCGAAGTGAAAATTACTTCGACATGACTGGCAGGATTTGAACCCTGTACTCACCCTGGATGGTGATCAGATAGAAGTAGTCGAATTCGTGTATCTGGGTAGCTACATAAGTGACGGTGATGGTGTGAGTGATGAGATTGATTCACGTACAGTAAAAGCCAGAGTGGCTTATGCGAATTTGGGCCACCTCTGGCGCCCTCGTAATGTCAGTCTGGCTGTAAAAGATCGGATCTACAACGCGTCAGTGAAAGCAGTTTTGCTCTATGCTTATGAAATCTGGCCTCTCCGAGTTGAGGATGTTAGACGACTTTCCGTGTTTGATCATCGTTGTCTCCGAAGGATTGCTGACATCCAGTGGCAACACCATGTCAGTAATGCAGAGGTTCGGCATCGTGTGTTCGGGCACAGAGACAATAATCCAATTGGTGTCACCATCTTGAAACATCGACTTCGGTGGCTTGGACATATTCTACGGATGTCGTCTCAGAGAATTACACGTCGTGCATTATTTGCCGACTCTGGGACTGGTTGGAAAAAGCGGAGAGGTGGTCAGTGTATGACATGGTGTCGTGGCATGAAAGAAAGCTGCAAAGGACTGGCTTGTATCGGTCCTTCACGACTCCCTGGTTGGGGTCTGAGAGATGGTGCAACACAGTGGCTAGAGACGTTATCAGATATGGCTCAGAATAGAAGCCAGTGGCGATCCTGCTGTAACCTTCTTTTACTTTCTTCATAAAAAAAGTGGTTGTTTCTTTCTTAACTGAAAGATTTCTTCTGATTGTACCTTTCCGTTTCCCTCAGTAATATTATTATTACGACACTATCTAACACTAATCTGTCACTATTGTTCTTTTTTATTTATGCGCACCTTCCTTTTTCTCTTCCCATTCCCATTGTTTTGTGTGGCTCATACATATTTGGTGCCTCCTTGTACCAATATTTGTGTTGAAATAAATAAATCAATGGCTAAACTGATTTCCAGAATTGCAAAGCCCTTGAATTGTAATAGACTGACTAAACTAAATTTATTAACCTTGTCATGTCGAAGAACCAGAGGCGACTCGATCAGTTTTTATATTACTTAATGATAAATTTGAATCTGATATTTTTACTTCTGTTGTTCTACAAAACGGAGAGTTTACGAACACACCCTAAAAGGTCCACAAGCCCAGAACAAAATACCTGTCAGATGACTATCGACTTTACCATAGAATCATCAACGAATGAAATTTTCTACCTCAATCCGTGATTGACGTTCTATCTGTCAACGCTTTCGAAAGAAATGTAGATCAAGTAAGAGGTCACTATTGCCATGATTAACACAGGTCACCTAGCCTTGTGTTTTTCCTAACTGAGACGGAAGCTTAGATCGAGTCATAGGAACGAAAGATAACAGCCTAAACATACACATTTCTGTCAAATTATTTTGTAACGCAAAATCTCATGTAACTATTGGCTGGTTTCTGCTACCTTGGTTGGTACAATTGTGAGGATGTAATTAAAGAAAGCTGAACGATGGTAATATATGGCTTCTCAAAAACAATAAAAGAATCAAATATCGACTTACGATCTTCTTCAAATAATTCGCGCACTCCCGGAAGATCACGAGCTGCTCCATAATATCTGTAGCCTCTATTGCCAGGAACTTCTTTCCCCTCTTTTTCAAGCATTTTCGGTGCTTCTGCCTGCACTCTAGTGTAAAAAATACCACTATACTTTAAAGTCAGGACCCCCAAGGTTTTTTATGTGGTCTTCCCAGTGGGATTTTTCTCGAATAAGCTTGTTTATGTCATCGTTCAAATCCCTTAGTTTATATTCACCTAAGCTAGCTGGAAGTAAAAATGTTGGATGGAAGAAATGAGTTATACGATTCTGTATTTGAGCTATTTTTCGAGATATTTCATGAACGATTTGGCGTCTGTAATACAGAGAATCTTTCAACCCGGTGCACTCAGAAGCGATATATGGTCTTTTCTTCGTCTCTTGAACACGATCCACATAAACTGCTCTCCATCGAGCGAGTGCAGTCCTGAAAAATACTTCAAATATAGGTCATAAAAACCTACATAGCCTTTTCTGCACTACGAGCCTATATTGAGTCAATTAAAAGAGACTGGAACTTACCATTTTAAACAGGGATCCCCAATGTACAGTTGTTGGATGAAAAACGCGCCAGATTTCTAATTGATACTGATGTGAATATCGTGAAGGGTCACAACTTACACAAAGATCGTTCAAAAATATGTATTTCAAATTTTTTAAATGTTCATCGACAGTGTAGAACCTTTCGCCTAACAGACTTCTGCATATGGTAGCAGTGAACTACTAATGCCTCCAAGTAGGGACCTAGGTGTATTTAACGATACAAAGAAAAAAAATCAGGAAATCATAGTGAGCTACTGTTCTTAGTCATTAAACTATGTCAAGTTTCCTCTTAAAGGACTCCTGGGAAGTTACTTCGACTTGCTCATCTGGCAGCGTTTCCCAGAGTTTGACTATTCGTAAAGAAAAAGAGATTTCAGCAAAGTAAATTTTATTTTGGACGAAATCATTTACTTAGGCTGTACATTCATATTTATAGTCACTTGGAAAGTATATGTCCATAGAAAGATAGAAAAGGCTGCATCATAAACTGATTCAAGACTCTTATTACCAAATGAGATTACGCACTAATCAAGGGGTAAGTAAAGAATAGAAGGATGAAAATAATTTACTGGTTACGTAATTGCCTAGTTGATCGATATGAAGAAAAACTAACCGTAATGAGTGGAAGATAATCCTACTATGTTATGTCTTCAGTTTCCGGATACTGCCTCCACGTTTTGTGTTGTGACGTAGCTCAAGTAGGTTTTCAAGGGGATGCCGAGGAGTGTTTACGATGCTATAAGTCATTAAGTCACCTCAGCTGTCTATGCTCTAATTGGTAGAAATTAAGTGGTTTGAGGTATATGATGTCAACTTTCCCCTTGTGACCAAGGATGGGTGTCTATCTATCCACCACGATCAGCAGGTTGATTATACGAGAAAGACCCTTCCTAAAAACATGCTGTTGGGATAAAAAGGCTTTTATGGATATTGTGTCTCCACGAAGACCGTCGCATACCAAGGACTCTATAATTCTTGAAGTTAGTGAGAGACGTGCTACCAGCTGGTAGCTCGAGTGTTCGCTTGGTCGACCCCCCTTGAAAATTAGTGTAAGCCAACATACAAGTTTCTGGTTCTATGCATCGGCTTGGCTAATGTGATAGCATAACGACAAGTGGTTTGCCAAAACTGAAGTCGCTTTCCTCAGTGTAGCAGAATGAGCCATCCCCAGGCCAGAACTGTCCTTGTTTAAATGCTGTAGTTACTGATACACCAAGTCAAAATCAGGTTCACTTCTGAAAGTCCTGTTGAGCTTCAGGTGGAGCTCCCGTCGATGTGGTAATTGTGGGAGGGTTGAAATTTCCTAAGGTACTGTCTTGCTAGAAGGCCGACGGTTGGGCCATTGCGACCTAACAACCAAGAAACTCTGGTTTTCGCTTGTCGAAGAGAGGCTGTATGACGGGATAGGCTTTTCGGATTGGATATAAGTTTATCGATCAGATTTATCTGATACTGAAGCATTTCTTCTCTTACCACCTTTGTGAATTGGTCCTTTGCTTATTTGGATTGCTTAAGTTTGCCGTTGCCACTAGTTCGTTTCTGTTCCACTCAGTAGTTTCTTTTTGTCTTGCTATTCGAAGAGTGGAATTCTTGATAACTATACCTCGCTTGTATTTTTGTGAACCGTTTGTAGGACAGACTTTTGTAGCACGTAATACCGTGTACAGTAAGAAATCTCATTGTGCTTCTATATCAAGATTAGGGTGGGCTTCTCATTCCACCAGCTATAAACTGACAGTAAAACTGACAAATACCACCGTTTGTAATCCCAACGCCTGCTGTTGGCAGGATGTACTAACTCATTTTCGCTGATAACACTGAAGTTCATAAAATTGTATAGGTTAATTTCCTCTATATCTAACTCCAGTAAATAGTATCCGATTTACTAATCATTTACATAGGCTAAATTTCCTGGTAGAATTATTTATGTGCTCGAGATTATTCACAAACCCGAACACCAGTTATAGAAATTGTTTGTTGTCAAAGAATGGTAAAATCCGCAAGTGTGCAGGAGGCAAGCACACAGGGAAACTAGTGAGTGTATATGCGAGTGTTAAAAATCAATATATATTCATGATTGTTTCCAACCGATGGGAGAGTAGACTAAAGATTGATGTGCAGACATGCGCTCAATCGGACACACAGAAATTTACATAGTGGACTAAATGTTTAAATTACAGTAAGTAGACAAATAATGCAATAATTGAATGGGCTTACTATAACGTCACGATCACTTCTACCCAGGGGAGCCAGGATTGTGGGGTTGTCATTTAGGAATTCTTCGTTTGTAACTACGCAGCCTAAGCGTGACCGTGTTTGACTATTTCACCGCCGACTTGATAGCTCCAGATTTTCCAATAATCCTAGATTGTCAATGGTGCTGAAGAACCGAGCTTCAGTAGAGTTGTCACTTCCAATATATGTGTGCTCGGTGAAGTTGACTTTAGGAAGATTGTAGTCTTTTAAAATAGGGATATAAGTGTATACGAGACGAATAGAGTGTGATAATCCCTCCGGTATACGATCATCGTACTTGGTGTCGGCAGTGGGCATCTTGTAGATGGCTCCAAACATACATCTCGGGGTGTTAAGCAATCCTACTGAGCACCATACAGATTATTGAAGATTGATAGACTCTTGAGTGGAAACGTGATATGCTACCAAACAAGACAGTAAATAGAAGGCTGCTCCACCCCCATTAACCGCTGGATGAGAAAAACAGATCGCGGTTTTTTGAACGTTCTTGCTGCGGTCTTGGAGGCGATTAGTTCAGGAAAGAGAGAAAACGACAAGACATGTTAACATCCAAAATATTATTTGAGGTACGGATTGCCAACACAAGGTCACCTGGCGTTCTACAATAAAACAAGGCCAGAGGGTTTACACTTTTGACGAGCTCGTCGTAAGGAAGTTTGGAAATACTTGTCCTTAACTTTGTTACCGCACAATGAACACACCAGAATGTGTTAGCATCCTCAGTGAAACATGGATCAATTGCTTGGATGGAGTACTTTAGTTGTGATCTTACATAGGTCAGGTACAAAATCCGGAACATCTTGACAAAGCATTTGGATGCCCGAGGCAACGACCATAACACTCGAAAACCTTTGAGGGCTGCTGCATTGCAATGTACATTTGTTTCGCAGTCAAATTACTGCTACTTTTTGTTCTAGTTCGTTTGGAAGAGATGTTCTGTCGATAGTATACAGATAACTATTTCCGTGTCTGATATGCATTAACATACTCTTCCCGTAAATAATTTCCAAGTACCAACTATGGAACCATGTAACTAATTCGTATGGGTCGGCTTGCAGATAAAGACAATCGGCTTCGGCACTTATTGCGCTCCATATTTTGAAATCATCGGCAAATAATAGTGTCGTTGACTTAGCAGTTTCGGTCATCTATGGAGGTAGAGGAAAAATATAGAGTCTATAATCTTGAATTGGAGTAGACCACTTTCGTCTGGCTTCCATTCGGATAGTTTCCCAGTTATCTTTACACTTTCTCTACAAATTTTCTTGTGCAGTCTTGTACGGCACCTGTTATTCCATACATGGAGAGCTTCTGGGTAGGCCCTAAGTGATGTTATCAAATTCTATGCTAAACTCTGCAAATATCACATCAGTCGACAAACCATCATCTTAAGCTACTGCATTCTCATAATTAGTGAATTAGCTAAGCGTGAATGCTAATTCTGAAACATATGTAACTGTGGAATTAAAAGACTGTGGAGTTCTACGTCGCTTAGCAACTTGGCTCGAACTGTTCCTTGAAGTAGCTTAACTACTCTGCTACTTGGACTGACAGGTCGGTATCCGAATACGATATATCTCTTTCATACTCAAATGTATGGCTAACTTCATCGCCTTTACAATGCCTAAGGAGTTGAGTTAGGGATAGAAGCATGTTAAACAGCATCGTCAGTGGTCCTGTAATAGTGTTCGCTCGAGAATACAGAAATAATGAATGTGGTTCATCAGAACCCGGTAACTTAGTGGGCTTGAGGTTAATGAGAAACTGTAGAATAGCTTTTTCAGTCACATGTACTGATTCTATAGCTGGTAGTTAGTGGTGTGGTTGCGGGAAGTGTTGTCAACAATACCCATAGGGTAGACTTCAGTGAAATAGTGTGACAAAGTCTCAGGTTTGTTCAGATCCGATTCATGTAGTATGGCTGAATTTTCGTGCAACGATAATGGAGGAATTTTATTACTGTGCCTTATCCTTCAGTTTACATATGAAACCTATTGTCCTGGGGAAGTATGGTTGACGTATGCCTAATTTTTTCGTAAGTGGAGCGGGATATTGCTGTGGTATTTTTACATATATATTCCAGATTTTTCAGTATCCACGTTTAAATGGTTTATGATCCGTTGACAAAGATGAGTCCCAGAATTGTCTGCCACGCTTGGGTAGCTTTAATATTTCACTACCAGTCTATGGGGGTCAGTGTGACAGCTCACGCGTTAGCCATGAAATGAACGATAATACTACGGACTCTGATGTGGCTTTAAGCTTATTCATCCTCCTTGAATGGTGAATCTGTCGAAATAACTAAGTCCCTAATACCAAAGTGTTACCCGCCAAACATTGAGACGGCGTGGGACAGATGCATACCGTATATTGTATCGGGAAAATGAAGTACAGTTAAACGTGATCGCCGTTCGCTAGTGGGCAAAATACGTAATATCGGCGAAATTATCACAGTGGTGTGCAAATACAATGTCCAAGAATGATAGTTCATGTTCTAAGTTATTATCTATCGGTCTTGTGGTACGTAATGCAAGTGTCCATTCAACAGTCTTTGTCAGTTGGCTGCCATCAAAGCATCCACCTAAAGTTGTAAGCTCTTCCCAGTTGATACATGGCGTATTGAAATCGTTAGTGATGAGACGACAATCATCTTTACTCCGTGTACACATGTGACTTAGGACAAAGTCGACAGCAAGAAAACATGGACTACGGAATATTCCTCCAATGGTCACTAACCCATATATAAATTTATTTGTACATCAAGCCA